TCACGCCCTTTTGCACCGACACTTCGGTCGAGCCATCAAACTGTTTGCCAAACTCCAGGAGTCGAAGGCGTCCCACGAGTTGGAGCTCAAGACCATTAATGTATGCATCGATTGATTAGTGATTTTGTGTTTGATTTTGATTGCAATTAATTGTTTTTTGTGTTTGTTTTGAAGGCATTCAAGCAATTAAATTGGACTCATTTGGAGGCCGCGTATAACCGATCCATAAATGTTAAGTTTCCCAAAGATTATCGACTATTTTAATGGCATTTAATGTTTTGAATTTGAATGTGAACTTTAATATAATTATTAATGTTTTGCTATTTTTGTAATATTTATACTTGAAAATAAAATACAATTAACAATTAACTTAATTAATTTAGTGCTATATTTTATTTTAAATGGCATTCATATTACAACCAATTTAATCTAGCCCAAATTTCACAGCTTACAGTTATACTACACCAGCCTACGTAATGTATTTACCATTTATGTTTATTTAGTTTTCTATCAGACAATGTATTACAGAACACTATAATATGAGCTTGGTAATTAAATATCATTATATATGAGTCGACTTGATAATTAATAACTTATTTAACTTACCATCTCTCATTTAACAGAGTTTAACAGTTAAACCATCTCTCAATTAGGGGCTAATGTTTAGTAATACGTTATATGTGAACGATTCCTACAGTAAACAATGCGATCATATGTTTCGTAACGTTATATTCATTGAGTGTTTTAAAAGTGAGATTCAATTTCAACGCAAAACTGTTTTGACTATAAAAATAAATCACAAATTTTAAGCGTTTAGTTAATTGTCATTAAATTTAGTTTACATTTAATTATATAACCCATATATAGGCCTACATTTCAAACGAGGTAAGTGTGTTGTCAACTCATTTAAACCATGTGTTAATTGTGTAAACAATTTGTTGTTTTTGTTATCAAAATAAATATCAATACAAAAAAATCTATTTTTAAAACTTTTTTGTTTAAAAAGTAAATAAAAATGTATTTATTTTTTTGGCGTTAATTTTGTTTTAATTTAATTATAATTTTGTCATAATTTTGTTGACAATTATTTGACACCAAATGTTTGTCTCAATTGTTTGTCGCAAACAAATTGTTTTGAAATTAACGGCTATTTTGTGTCACAAAAAATTGTCGACTCATTCCTACTGTAAATAATGGGAAACACATTATAATTATGTTATAAATAGTGATTAAAACTATTAATAAAACACATGATTAGTTATTATGCTATTAAACTAATCTCGTTGTTATTTCTCTCCCCTTATCTCCAGTGCTATAGTGTTGTAGACATTGAAAGACATTTACAAAGACTTGATTTATTGTAGTTTTAATTGCAGTTAAAATAACATTTGTTTTGTAATCAGTATTTAATTAAATTTAATCCGTAATTAACATTACTATTAGTGAACGACACGTTTAATCGCCGTTAATTCACTTTTAATTAATTTTAAAAGTAATTCAATTAAAATATTGTAATTAATTTGATTGATTGCGATAACAATTAGTTGCTCACCGATTGTCACCGATAATGAGCGCACCGGACGTCCCGACCGAACCGTTCCCGTTGTCGGCACTGTTGCCGAAGAGGGAGACGACCGCCGCCTCCTTCCTCACCAAATACCCCGAATATGACGGCCGAGGCGTGAAGATAGCCGTTCTTGACTCAGGCATAG